ATTTTTTAATTATTAGTTCGAATTTAGTTAGTTTAATATAATTTAGTTCGAACTTAATTAGTTTAATATAAAATATAATTTGTAATGTAAATAATAATTTTTATTAACATTAATTTTTTTTATAACATTAATTATTTTTAAAAATCGAATTTAACAATATTTTTGAAAATTTAATTTATTTCACAATAATAATACAACATACAACATCTAGTACATTTAATTATCGAAATTACTAAATCGTTCCCACAAATGCTCAATCAATGCATTACGGAGTGCATAATGAGCTTCTTTATCTTTAATTTGTCTATGCCGAGCAAGAAATTCTTGAAATATAATATTCTCATCTCTAGCTATATCAACTTCAGGAGTCGGTGCTCCTTCCAACCTTGTATATCTGCTTGCTTATCACGTTCGTCCTCAATGATCATATTGTGCATTATAATGCAAGATGACATTATATCATGCAATACACATTTATCCCAAAAACGTGCCGGTCCCTTGACTATTGCAAATTGTGATTGGAGAACTCCAAATGCACGTTCTACGTCTTTTCTACACGCTTCCTGCATCATCGCAAATAACTTCTTTTTGGGCCCTCGAGGTTCATGAATTGTTTGTACCAATGTGGACCATTTTGGATATATACCATCTGCTAAATAATATCCAGTGTGGTACTGTTGTCCTTGAATAACATAATGACAAGGAGGTGCTATACCGTTTGCAAGATTGGAAAATAAATAAGATCCCTCCAACACATTAATGTTGTTATTCGACCCCGGCATACCAAAATGTGCATTCCAAATCCACAAATCATAATCGGCTACAGCTTCAAGAATAATAGTTGATTCTCTACTCCTCCCAGCATATTGTCCAGCCCAAGCAGTTGGACAATTTTTCCATGTCCAGTGCATGCAATCTAAACTCCAAAACATCCCTGGAAAACCACGTTTTTCGCCAATTTGAAGCAACCGTGCAACATCATTAGCATCAGGTGCTCTTAGATATCGCTCCCCAAAGACCTCTACAATTGCTCGACAGAATCTCTTCAAACTTTCAATTGTAGTTGATTCTCCAATCTGGATATATTCATCTGCTGCATCTGCTGGTATTCCATACGCCAAAACTCGAAACGCCGCTGTAACTTTTTGTAAAGTAGATAAGCCCAGTCTACTGATTCTATCCTTCCGTTGCACAAAATAGTTGTCATGGCCTTTAACAGCATTGGCAATTCGTAGGAACAAATTTCGACTCATTCGAAATCGTCTACGAAACATTGCTTCAGAATATTTTGGATACTCTGAAAAATAATCATTCCATAATCTTCGATCTGCTTCTTCACGATCACGATGAATCACTCTATGACCAAAAGTCAAACCTCCATGCCTAGGGGGTTGATTATCCATATTTTCCATGTAGGAAGCTATGGCAAGGGTGTGGCTAGTATATGCATGGGTTAATAACTGTGTGCTCATATTGCACTTGCGAGATTGTGCTTAGACTCTGGTGATGATGATGATGAGGATGAAGAAGATGAGGATGATGATGAAGAAAATGGCATAGGACGTTTTCTAGTGTTGGAATTCATATTTGAATTCGTATGTTTAGAGATAGATGATAATGGTTGAATGCTCAATTTGTTGGTGATGAAGAACGTTTTTATAGGCATGATCAGAATTGTTTAGAACCGTTAGATTAGATCGTGAAAATCACATCCGTTCATTGGTATGCTTGTCCTTTTCCACACATACTCCAATAAAAGATATCACATGCATCTTTGAATCAGCTTTTATCTGAATTGTTTAGAACCGTTAGATTAGATCGTGAAGATCACATTCGTTCATTGGTATGCTTGTCCTTTTCCACACATACTCCAATAAAAGATATCACATGCATCTTTGAAGAATCAACTTTTATCTGAATTGTCTAGAAACGTTAGATTAGATCGTGAAGATCACATTCGTTCATTGGTATGATTGTCCTTTTCCACACATACTCCAATAAAAGATATCACATGCATCTTTGAAGAATCAGCTTTTATCTGAATTGTTTAGAACCGTTAGATTAGATCGTGAAGATCACATCCGTTCATTGGTATGCTTGTCCTTTTTCCACACATACTCCAATAAAAGATATCACATGCATCTTTGAATCAGCTTTTATCTGAATTGTTTAGAACCGTTAGATTAGATCGTGAAGATCACATCCGTTCATTGGTATGCTTGTCCTTTTTCCACACATACTCCAATAAAAGATATCACATGCATCTTTGAAGAATCAGTTTTTATCTGAATTGTTTAGAACCGTTAGATTAGATCGTGAAGATCACATCCGTTCATTGGTATGCTTGTCCTTTTTCCACACATACTCCAATAAAAGATATCACATGCATCTTTGAAGAATCAACTTTTATCTGAATTGTTTAGAACCGTTAGATTAGATCGTGAAGATCACATCCGTTCATTGGTATGCTTGTCCTTTTTCCACACATACTCCAATAAAAGATATCACATGCATCTTTGAAGAATCAGTTTTTATCTGAATTGTTTAGAACCGTTAGATTAGATCGTGAAGATCACATCCGTTCATTGGTATGCTTGTCCTTTTTCCACACATACTCCAATAAAAGATATCACATGCATCTTTGAAGAATCAACTTTTATCTGAATTGTTTAGAACCGTTAGATTAGATCGTGAAGATCACATCCATTCATTGGTATGCTTGTCCTTTTTCCACACATACTCCAATAAAAGATACCACATGCATCTTTGAATCAACTTTTATCTGAATTGTTTAGAACCGTTAGATTAGATCGTGAAGATCACATCTGTTCATTGGTATGCTTGTCCTTTTTCCACACATACTCCAATAAAAGATATCACACGCATCTTTGAAGAATAAGCTTTTATCTGAATTGTTTAGAACCGTTAGATTAGATCGTGAAGATCACATCCGTTCATTGGTATGCTTGTCCTTTTCCACACATACTCCAATAAAAGATACCACATGCATCTTTGAATCAGCTTTTATCTGAATTGTTTAGAACCGTTAGGTTGATCGCGAAGATCACATCCGTTCATTGGTATGCTTCTATCTCTATAAATACTACAATTCAATTTTAGAAGTAATACCACCTATCTTTTGAATATCAATATCTCTTTCTAGTTTTACAATCATTGAAATATGTCAAATCCCTCACGTTCAATCCGAACTTCCTCATACTCTAATGAAGAAGATAAACTCCTTTGTACTATATTTATGGATATTGCCCAAGATCCTGAAAAGGGCAATGATCGCTCTGCACCAGATTTATGGGAACACATTGCACAAGAATATAAACAAATGCTACCGGCACACATTTGTACTGATCGAACTTCAAGATCGCTGCATAGTCGTTGGGCAAATATATCAACAGCGGTTAGCAAACTAAGAGGGTGCATTCAACAAATAGAGAACATGAACCCAAGTGGTGCATCTGAACAAGATATTGTGAGTATCTTGTAAATTTGTGTTATTTAGTTTTCTCTTGTTTTTTTATTTTAATTGCGTTGTTTAATTAGAATTATATTTTATTTATAACAGCTTGATAGAGCAAAGGAGTTAGTAAAGAAAGATCCCAAATTCAAAGGCGGATTTAAGTTTTGCAGAACTGGGAGCTTGCTAAATGTTGGAGGTCGAAAAAGAACTTCCGAAGGATCACAATCACAATCTTTCAGAACCGAGAAGTCAATAGGCTCTTCCTCATTTGCTGTTGATTTGAATGATGATTTTGAAACTGATGAACATTGTAATGAAATGAACAATGTAGGTGAACGTCCTATGGGGAGGAAAAAGGAAAAGATGAAGCATAAACTCTCGGATGAGCGCAATCAATTTATTGCCGCAATAGAACAACAAACTCCACAATTCAAAGGAATGTTCGAAAACAATCATGAGCTACTCCAAAAACAATATGAGCTTGATTTGCTTATAGCTCAAAATGTAGCGAACAAAATAACATTGAGAAAAGAAAAAATGGCATTAGCAAAACGAAAAGAAGATAACAAAATCTTAAGGATGAATTTAAATTTGATAGAAGATCCAACTGTGCGTGAGTCGATTAGACGCCAACAACTACAAATTGTTGCAGAGAGAAATCAAGAGCATGGAGGAGGAGTTGAATCAAATCGTGAATTTGATCAATTCTTTGATAATTTGGGAGGAAGTGGGAGTGGACTAGGAAATTATTAATTTTATTATATTTGTTCAAAATTGTGTTGTATTTTCTAATATTATTATTATGTCGTATGTATTTTAATTTTTATTATGTTCTAGTCATGTTTGATGTATGTCGTATGTATTTTAACTTTTATTATGTTCAAGTTATGTTTAATGTATTTGGAATTTTAATTAATATATATTCAATATTAGTCTTGTTTCGATCGTCTCAATGAGATCTTTAAAATGGTATAATTTTTATTTAATAATATAAAGTTTAAATATAAGTATTTAACAAAATAAAAAATTACATATAAAACGATTAAGGATATACTTGGAATTATAAAATAAAATAAGGACAAAAAAGACAATTTGGGATTATAGTGCAAATTAACAGTGCAGCGCCAAATATAGCGCTACACTGTTCATTAACGCCATTTCCTTTGGCGTTTTGGCGAGACACCTTGGAGAGAGAAATTTGAGGGAATGGTGTTTTGGGGATGGAAATTGGCATACCGTTGGAGATGCTCTTACCCAACAATACTAATTTAAAAATGGGAAATAGAAAGTAACAAAATTAATCTAGATGTAAATTTGGCAATTCATGTACATTTTCGTATCATATAAACATAGAGTATTAATGAGTTTGACCCATATCCGTTAGACAACACGATGATAAATTGATAATGACCCAAACTAAACTCTGTATTCATTTTTATGTTGTATTAAAATTTATCAAATACATCCCACCTTATTTATTTCGATTTCAATTCTTATTTATTACCAAATAAAGAAACACTTTCCTTTAAACCCATTACAATTATCATTATTTGATTCAATTACGATTCAGATTCTAATATTTGAACCAAAGGCGCCTATATATTATTATATTATGTATACATAGTTGATATACAAGAACATAAGTTTGGTTAAGATGATGTTTGATGGGTTTGTGTGCGCATTCTTGCTCCCCAAGATGCATTCTTAGACATGCTCCTTCTCTTTAACTCTGAAAGCTGAGACTGCCATCTGCTTTTCCATTCACTTTTATCTTCCATAGGCTGTATTAAGAAATAATAAAATCAATTGATTGAGTTTTAAAAAAATAACGGGAACAGTTTTAATCCAGTTAGTCAAATAATTAACTTGCTAACCATAAAATTTTGAATTTTATGTAATTACGAGGTTTGAACCTTAACAGCAACATTGTAGAGATTATATCTAAAGTGGGTTGATTCTTTGTGCGCACTGAATTTGACTCTGTCTGCTACTTTTTTTCCTTCTAAATATTGTGTCGGGTCAGAGTATAAGGCCTTTAAGGTTAGGGATTCAATTCTTTTTTGGGAGAAGAAGATGACACAAATAATGTCAAATGGATAATCCTCTCTAGTCCCAATACTATAGTAAAACAAATCTTGATCACTCCAACACATACTTTTCAATTTAATGCCCAAGAAGAAAAGGGCTTTCCCATAAAATGGCACCAAACCATGATAGAATCTGATCTTCAAACACTCAACTCCAAACTATGAACAACTTCAAAGTTCTACCTAAACTAAGAGTTTCTATTATTTTTTTAAAAAAAATTATATAATTTTACACATCCATATCAAAATTGTATGTACAAAAAGCGAAAAACCCATATCTTTTCTCGGCAATTCAGAACTACCCAAGTAATAATAATCACAAAAAAAAAAAAAAAATGAAGAAAAATGAAGAACTAACAAACCTGGTCTCTACAGTAACGCCTACGTGAGGAGCGGAGGCCTTTAGCCCTATCTGTATCGTACAGAGCTCTGGTTTTAGGATCCGAGAGTGTCTGATACGCGTGCTGAACCCGAATGAATCTCTGGGTGTACTCCTCGACCCGCTCCGGCGGCCAAACGTCCGGATGGTACTTCCGGGCCAACTGCTTGTACGCCCGTTTGATCTCGGGCAACGACCCCGTCTCCGGTATCCCCAGGAGGTCGTACAAGGAACCCGGTTGGGCATCCTTGAGTTTGGATTGGATACGGAAGCGGGGAAGGGGATGGACGGGGAAGAAGACGCGGCGGCATGTGAGGGAGGAGAAGCGTGGCGGGTCGGTTCTTGATAGCGTAAGACCAAAGGAGTTGCAGCACAACATCTCTTCTTCTTCTTCTTCTAATCTCTGTTCTGTTTCCAGTAATAATGTTTTGAAGTGGAACGCTAAATTGCGAGTTGGGCATCCGCTGTATTTATAGTTTTAAGATATTTTTCCCTCCGTCCTAGACTCCTACTCTATCATTATCCTTTTTTTTTTTGGTAAGGACTCTATCATTATCCATAATTTGTACCGAAATGCTTCTAGATCATTATTATTTAGAATAAAGTTTCAATTGGCCACCAAACGTAACCCGAAAGTGTAATTAGGTCACTGAACAGAAACAAAAGTACAATTAGACTACTGAACACTTTAAATGTATGCAATTTTACCTGATAGCAGATTATCATTAATTTTAGCAGGTTACTATTAATTTTAACAACCAGCTGAGTTAACATTTTTAATAATTTTTAATAAATTTTAATAATAAATTTTTTTTAAAAAAAAATGACGGGTGGCCGTTTTTTTTTTTAGTTCTTTTATTTAATTTTTTTCAATTTTTTTAAATTTATTATTAAAAATTATTAAAAATATCAACATTTGGAGTGATTTCAGTAGCCTGCTATCCTGTGAAATTGCATACATTTGGAGTGTTCAGTGACATAATTGCACGTTTTTAGAGTGTTCAGTAACCTAATTGCACTTTTTTTTTCGTTCAGTGACCTAATTGCACTTTTTTTCGTTCAGTGACCTAATTGTATTTTCAGGTTACTTTCAGTGGCCAATTTGAACCTTATTCCTTATTATTTTAACCATTTTTAATTATTAAGCTTATTTCAAATTAATAAATAATGCGCCAAAGTCCGTGTGGTCCAATGACACCAAGTTTACTCCCTTAAGTGGGTTTGTGCTACTCTTTGTGCTTCAATTGGTTGGCAAGGTAGTTATTAACAGATACTGCATTGTAATAGAGTCAGTAGCATTAAAAAAAATAAATAAATAATGCTTTCCACGAGAACTCTGAATATGCATCGCATAGGTACTAACTATAAGTGCAACTATTGACATGTAAATTAATGTTGAATTTGTTTATTTAAATCGGTAATTTAAAGTATATAAATGCAAGATAATATATGAGAGATTGATAATATATAACTGTCACAAAAATAAATATTTACAACTTTGTAATAACGCTAGTCTAACTACTTAGTCTAAAAGCAATAGTCTAAATAAATACTACTTTTGGTTTAAATTTCTCTAATTCTCTTTTGGATAGCATTGTCATTGTCTTCATCTTTAGTACATGTCTTTTTTGTTTTTTGATAGTGTGCTATATGCAATTGGGTTATTGGTGGTAGCATAGAGTGATTCATCATGCAACGCGATTATGATGTAGGAAGCTTTAGATTTGCTTTGTTGTGTATACGACTGGGATCTTAGTTGTGCTATGAGCTCTTTATCTTACAAGCACATGTTGATATTTGGTAGTGGTAGTTTTTCCCTACGTGTTTCATGTGTTGTGAGATGTTTGACGTACTAGGTTATCATGTGAAAATATTGAACAAAATATTAATATTTATTATATTTGTGTAAAATACTTGGTAAATAAATATATATAACATATTTTGTATTATAACTTTGATATTTAATTACAAGATAATGTAAAAAGAAGACAATAGACAATGTAGTGAATATAATAAATTAATAAATTTCAAGGTACGGAATCTTTGAATTGTAGAAAATAAAGATAATATAACTAATAAAATTATATCTCTTTTAATTTTTTTTTATAATGAATAATTCTTTTTAAATAGATGCATTGTAGACATCTAATTCTATTTATTAAATGCATATATATTATTTTTTATTGTAACTACTAATTTATTTTTTAATTTAATAAGAACAATAAAGTGGAGTACATACTTTTTTTTTTATATAACAAAGAAGGGGGAAACCCAAAAGTGAATCACAGGTTTATACTGAGTCTAGAATATTACGCCAAACAGGGAGGCCAGACCTATCGTCATCTAGAAGAATACTAATCTCATCAGGTGGATCTGTTAGTGAAAGGAGTCCAAAGTCGTGATCCAAGGCCATCTTTGCTAATGCGTCAGCAACATAATTCTGTTCCCGAAATATGGAATTAAGTGCCCAGAAATCAAGATGATGAAGTTCCTTTTTGCATGCTTCAAGGATATTGTGAGCAGCAATACTGGGAGGCCTGGTCTTGATCAAGTAGTCCACTGCTTCATGAGAGTCGCTTTCAATATATACATACTTGAAGCCTTTGGCTGTGGTAAACTGAATTCCCTTCAATAACGCCCAGGCTTCAGCCTCCAAAGGGGTGCATGTGCCTAATTTGGCCATAAAGCCCATCTTCCAGTCGCCTAAGGAGTCCCTTATCACGCCGCCACAGGCAGCCAGATTTGAAAGGGAGGCAGCAGCTCCATCTACATTTAATTTTATCGTGTTTTCAGGGGGTCTTAGCCAGCGAAGCAGCTTCCAAGCCATTGGGCTATTGTTCACCAGCGGGGATTTCAAGCTTGAGAAGGCAGAGCTGGATTCCTCGGCTTGGGATAGGATTAGGGAGATTTTAGACTTTAAGGGTCTGAATGTATTCTTGAATATAGCCTCATTGCGCCATTTCCATAGCCATCAAAGGGTGATAGCAAAAGTGATGTTATCATTACATGGCCTTCTTCCACCACCTTTCTTAGAAAGACCCTCATCAAGCCAGGCAACCAAAGGCATGCTGCGGGTGTTTTCATGCAATTGCGGTAAGATAACTTTCCAAATCTCTTCTGCTAGTGGGCAAAAGCGGAGGATGTGGTCTGAATCTTCAACTATCGTGACACAAAACCAACAATTCTCGTTATCAGTAAAGCCGCGTCTTCTTCGATTCCGGTTTGTCATGATCCTGTCATGTCTTACCAGCCAAAGGAATGTACATATTCTGTTTGGGACTTTCACTTTCCAGAGATTAATCCATTTCGTAGAGTCGATAGCTGTTGGAGTATTTAAAGCTGCCGTATATGCTGAACTAACAGAGAAACGTCTGTCGGCCTCCACGCTCCATATGGCTCGATCTCCTAATTGAGAGTCCTCTTGAAGAACTACGGTGGACAGTCTACTCAAGATTCTTGCAGGGAGGAGACGGTCCAACAGATCCCACTTCCAACCTTCTCCCGCAATCCAGTAAGCTGCCACGGTGTTGTTCAATGTAGAGGGGGCAATTTGCTCCAGGGCAGATCCGAGTAGGGGAGCTGGCTCAAGCCAGATATCCAACCAAAATCGTGTTGATTTACCATTGCTTACGCGCCATTTGATACCATTCTGAATGATGGGTGCAGCTTGGAGGATACCTCTCCATGCATTGGAGTTACTATTCTTCAACTTCCAAGAGCATAAGACAGTCGGTTCAGCCCCGTACTTTGCCTTTAGAATCTTAATCCAAAGGCAATCTTCTTCTTGAAAAGATCTCCAAGCTAGCTTAGCTAAAAAAGCCAAGTTCATTAGTTTAAGATTCTTGATGCCTAAACCCCCATTTCCTTTATCGTTGGTGACAACATCCCATCTCACTAAATGACACTTCCTTTCACCTCCCTTGCTGCCCCAAAGGAAGTTCCGAATACGCCTTTCTATGGCCTCAATTACTCCAGACGAAAGCAGAGTGGATTGCATGCTATAATACGGGATGGCTGAGAGGACAGATTGGGCCAATATATGACGACCAGCTAGTGAAAGGGTCTTGGTTTTCCATCCGTCGAGGCGTGAGTGAATCCTATCCAAGATACCCTTGAACGAGTCTTTATTAAGTCTGCCATGTATAGAAGGTATTCCTAAGTGATTGCCCAAGGCTGAGACACTCGGGATCCTAAGTGCTTCCGTGATGAGCTGCTGTGTCACTGGTTCAGTAATCCTTGAGAAGAAAATCGAGGATTTTTGAAGGCTTACACTTTGGCCTGAGCTGGAGCAGAACATGTCAAGGCAACCTTGCATTACTGTCGCCTGGTTAACAGTGGCCTCTCCAAATAGAACTAAGTCGTCTGCAAAAAACAAGTGAGTCAGGTTAGGAGCTTCGCGAGAAAGTTTTATGCCCTTCCAGTGTCCATCATTAACAGATTTTTCAATGATATGGCTTAGTCTCTCAATGCATAGTACAAATAAAAGAGGGGAAATAGGATCTCCCTGTCTAATTCCCCGTTCCGGGGTGAACCAGTCTGTTTGATGTCCATTCCATAAAACTGCAAGCCGAGAGGTCGAGATGCATCGCATGATGTTTCTGATCCAAGATTGACTAAGCCCAATATCCTGTAGTGTATCCTTGATGAAGCTCCAGGATAATTTGTCATATGCTTTTTCAAGATCAACCTTTAGGATCATCCAACCTAACCTTCCTTTTTTGTTCCCTAGGGAGTGTAAAATTTCCTGGTAAGCAAGAGTGTTATCCACGATCTGCCGGCCTTGGATGAAGCTTGACTGATGGGATCCCACGAGCTTGCTAGAGATATCCTTTAAGCGTATTGTCATGATTTTAGTAACCAGTTTGTAAGCCACACTACACAATCCTATGGGGCGAAATTGCTTGACTTGCTCTGGGTGATGGACCTTCGGGATGAGGGATATTAGAGTGTCGTTACATCCAGGAGGCAGAGTGCCATACTCAAAGAAGTCCCTAACCAGGGTGAAGAGAGAGTCACTTATAATAGGCCAGGCCTTTTGGAAGAAAGCTGTCGTAAAGCCATCGGGACCCGGTGCCTTGCAAGGTGCCATCTCAAAGAGGGCTGATTTAATTTCATCTAAGGTAACAGGAGTGTATAGAGACTGCCAGTCCGAGGCAGAAATGGTGGGAAATAGACCATGGTGTAGATTTTGTGTGATGGTCCTGGAATCTTCTAAAAATAAAGCAACAAAGTATTCTCGGACATGTTCTCTGATTGCAACTTCTTCTGAAATTATTCTTCCATCTTCGTTTTTCAAGCAGCTGACTTTGTCTTGATTCCTACGAACAGATGATGCCACATGATAAAAGTGGGTATTCCGATCCCCGGACTTTATCCACTCTTCTCTTGATTTTTGGAACCACATAAGTTCCTCTTGATGGAGTGTTTCCTCAAGCTCCTTACGTAGCCTACGCTCCAGTCTAATTAAGTCCGACCTTGCCCTTGCGGAAAGACTCCTCTGAACTCCATCCAATCTTTTTAGCAGAATTTGTTTGCGCAAGAGAATGTTACCAAAGGTTGTCCTATTCCACACAGTCAGGTTTTGAGCCGTCGTTGCTAGGTTCGAGATTTGGTCCAAGTCATTGTTCCAAGAAGAACGAATACAAGCCTGAAATGTAATGTGTGTTGTCCATGCCAAATTAAACTTGAATCTGTTGGGACACTGTTGTCGGGAAGCTCCGGTCGTTGAAACAAGAAGTGGCAAATGGTCAGAACCAACTCTTGGGAGATGGGAAACAGTTGCTGCTGGGAAGCGATTGAACCATTCAATGTTACACAGAGCACGATCCAATCGGGATCCTTTAAAGGACGGTGTGTCCATCCCTCGCGTCCAAGTATAAGTTGACCCTAAGTAGCCTAGATCAATCAGGGCCTCCCTAAAAATCCAGTTATTAAAAGCCGAGCTTCTGGATGACACAAAGGTTTCTGGGCTACTGACTTCAGTTCGATCAATGACTGAGTTGAAGTCGCCCATCGTTAACCAAGGCCCGTGAGGTTCAAAAAACTGCCCTGACAGGTCCGAAAAAAGTCGTCTTCTTAGACCCAAATTGGGGCTGCCATAAACAGCCGACATGAGCCAAGGTGGAGAACCGTTCTCGGATACCTGAAAGGAAATAAATTGAGGGTGAGTGTATAAAATCTCAACTGAGAGTGTGTCATTCCAAAATAGCCAAATTCCACCCGAATAGCCAACCGATTCGACCCTAATCCATTGATCAAAAGCGAAGGAAGAGCAAATATCATTGGCCTGCGCCCCTGAGACCTTAGGTTCAAGGAGGCAGATCAAAGAAGGTTTATGTAAACGCAATAATTGATTTAGGATGCGCCTAAACGAAGGCGAGGCAGCACCCTGACAATTCCAAGACAACATAATCATAACAAAAGAAAGGGAAGCGGGACAAGCGTCTATTGACGCAGGCGAGTAACTGCCACGTTAACACCAGGATCAATATGATCATCGTCTTCTTGCATAGCTACAGCTTGATGCGCCAAAGGTTCCTGATCATTGTCCACATCAGGTGGAACTTCCTTGTACGTGTTCTCGAAGGCTGCAAGATCCGGGGAGTCACAGTGTGATTCTGTGTGGCGTATAGTGTAGGTTTCAATGGAACCTCCTCTGTTCGAGCCTCTGACCACTGTGTGCTCTTGCACGGCTGCAGCTCTGTTTGGAACAAAGCCTCTGCCACCCCGTCCCCTAAGAGCACCCCGTGTGGGTGAGTGAGTGCGAACAGCTACCGGTGGGGGTTCAGGTGGTCTTGTGGCGGGCTCCGGGCCTCTTGGTTCAACCCGTTGGTGGCCTCCTCGATAGGCCGTCCTGATTCTGGGGAGGTTATCCAAATGTTGGTGAAGCTCAGGGGGTCTGGCCGGAGCAGCTGGATGGCCACCCTCCTCTGGTTCTTCAGGATCAGCAAGAGGCGCAAAACGAGAAGGAGAAGCAATCTCGATTGGTTGAGGAAGAACATTCTGTGGAGTATTGGTCTGTCTCGCATTCCTTCTTGCCGAACCAGGCTGCTGCACAGCTTTATTCTGAGATCTCCTATTCCTGCGTGTTACTAACATCCATGCCCCATATTTCTCTCTGGGCTTTTGAGCCGGCTGTTCGGATGGAGGATTAGTGTTAGCACCATCAACATTCTCACTCGAAGTTGTCTGAATAGAGGCGTCTTTTCCACAGGACTCCATACGGTGGCTGTAAACACCGCATTTGAAGCAAATCTGGTGGATTCCCTCATATTCTACTGGCCATTCCGTCATATTAATCACAAAATTGGACAGCAAAGGCTTGCTCATGTCGATTTCTACACATGCTCGTGCAAACTTCCCTTTTGAGGCCAAGCCGGTGGTGAGATCGATCTTGATTGGACGCCCTATCGACTTTCCGATTTTTTTCAAGAAATCATCGTCAAAATACTCAATGGGAAGAGATGGAAAGCGTACCCATGCTAGGAGCTTGTCAATCTTGCTAACTCTTGGATCAAAATTAGGTCTCCAATCTTGAGTGACCAAATAGTGATCAAGAACCATCCATGGCCCTCCGAATTTTACTGCATCATAATCAGCGAGGGATTCGAACTTTGCTATGAAGAAGTCGTGAGTTAGTGCAATCAACTCAAAGCCTGCTTCTGTCCTCCACATGCGCTGCAACCGTTGAAGCAAATAGGAATAGCCTACCGTTCTGCCCACCAATTTCAAAATGAGCGACCTGCGCCATGGTCGACGGAGTCTCTCTTTTTCCTCCTTGGTCACATGGATGACGGGAAACTCGAAGGGGTTAGCAGCCTCCTCCATAGTGTCGTCATCAGATTCTAGAGATTCCTTAGCCGGTTGTGATGTAGATTTGCGGTTCCAGGCTTGGCTCGGAGTTTCTGCCGGAGTTCTTCGATTTGCCGAAACAGGGGTATTTGCTCCAGAACCAAAGGGGGTTTCATAGGTCTGTTCTTGCAAGGGATACGCAGATGGGTCTCCTTCCTCTCTTCCTCTTTTAGCCTTCTTGGTACTCCTCTCCAACAGATCTTGATCCTCCGGCGACCGGTCAGTCGCCGCCGTTGGGTTATCCGAGAGAGAATCAGAAAGCATATTCACCCAATTCTAACTTTTTTGGAGTACATACTTTTCATTCACAATAATAAAATCATTGATTTTTTTTTTTTTTAATTTCTATTCGTTGTTGAGCCAAATTGTTTTGAGAGTTTGTCAATGATAATTGTTGTCATTAGAGGATGATAATAAATAATTCAAAATATAAGGTTACAATGGATATTGTTATAATAATATAGTAAAAATTAACTTACAAATTTATTTAGAAGTTTTCATGCATTGATAAAAAAAATAATTGAAATATTAAGTTTTGTTTTCAATAATCAAAAGAAGATTAATTAAACAAAAATAAAAATAAAAAAACTTAACTTAAAATTTTTTTTTTAATGAAAGAAAATCAAATGATTTTAAAAATTCATGATTTATAATCATTGAATGCTATGTATTTAGTCGGACTAATTACTTGACCAAATTTTATGTTAAATTTTATATTATATATTTTTTAATACATTTTAACATATTCGTAATATATGTTTAACATTTATGCCAACTCTAATTGGGACGGGGTTCAAACTTAAGACCTTTCTTTTATAGAAATTAATGAGTAAGTTAAGAATAATAAATAGTTAACAAAATGGCAAACACATTGTGCTTAGATGACATGTAGTAACCTCTCCCATATGGGAGGTTATGAGATCGAACCTTGGTGGAGGCGTTGTTGACTCTTTGTGCTGTAATAAAATCAGTAGCAAGGGCCAGGAATCGGTGTAATTGCACTTTCCCATTATTTTCAGTGACCAATTTGGCCCTTATTCCTATTTACTAGTTTTTTTATGCGCCTTGCGCGAATGGGATAATGCGTAATGCCCAATAATTATTTTAAAATCAGTATTTTAAAGTATATCAATGCAATATTAAATAGGAGATGTTCACGCATAGGTAAATAATGTTGAATTTGTTTATTTAAATCGGTAATTTAAAGTATATAAATGTAAGATCGTATATGAGAGATTGATTATAATTGTCACTAAAATAAATTTTTACAACTTTATAATAACGCTAGTCAAAATATTTAATTAGTCTAAAAGCGATAGTCTAAATAAATACTACTTTTGATTTAATTTTCTCTAATTCTTATTAATTCTCTTTTGGGTAGCATTGTCATTATCTTCATCTTCAATATATATATTTTTTTTTAATATTGGTAATGTGTCATGTGCAATTAGGTTACTGATGGTAGCATAGAGGGATACAACGTGCAATGTGATTATAATGTAGGAAGCTTTAGATTTGCATTGTTGTGTATATAACTGGGATACTATGAACTCTTTATCTTACAAGCACCTATTGATATTTGGTAGTGGTAGTTTTTTCCATACATGTTTCATGTGTTGTGAGATGTGTGTCGTAGGTTATTATGTGAAAGTATTGAACAAAATATTAATATTTTTTATATTTGTATAAAATACTTGGTAAATAAATATATATATAACATATTTTGTATTATAAGTTTGATATTTAATTACAAGATAATGTAAAAAGAAGACAATGAACAATGTAGTGAATATAATAAATTAATAAATTTGAAGGTAATGAATCTTTGAATTGTAGAAAATAAAGATAATATAACTATTTAAATTATCTCTTTTTAATTTTTTTTTTTATAATGAATAATTTTAAAAAAAAAAAATAAAGGCATTATAGACATTCAATTCTAAATTAATTAAATATATATGTATTATTTTTTGTTGTAGCTACTAATTTATTTATTTAATTTAATAAGAGTAATAAAATGACATACATACTTTTCATCAACAATAATAAAATCATTGATTTTTTAAATTTCCATTCGTTGTTTAGACAAATTGTGAGAGTTTGTAAATGACAATTGCTACAATTGTTGTCAAAAGATGGTGATAATAAATAATTCAAAATATATGGTTACAATAGATATTGTTATAATGATATAGTAAAAATTAAATTAACTTACAAATTTATTTTGAAGTTTTCATGCATTGATAATATTATGATGTATAAACTTGTTCAATTGAAGCCAGTGGGATTTCAACATTGTCAATTCTTTGAAAAATAGTCGTACCGTTTTAGAGTCCAAGTGTAATTATATTTATGATCAATAACTTTGTAGTTAGGTCGTGCAGTTCTAACAATGATGTAAGAACAATTTTGTCCGATAAAAAAATAATAGTAAACTATTTGTAAAGTAATGTACAATTGTACCATTATAAAAATATATACAAAAAATATTAATATCATAATGACCTAAATCATTCAAATAATGCAAAAGCATAATTGAAATATTAAGTTTTGTTCTAAATAATCAAAAGAAAATTAATTAAACGAAAAAAAAAAAAAAAAAAAAAAAAAAAAAAAAACTTATCCTAAATGTGTTTTTTTAAATGCAAAAAAATCAAATGATTTTTAAAGTTCATGATTTAAAATCTTTGATGCTCAACTTTATATGCTATGTATTTAGTCGGGCTAATTATTTGACCAAAGTTATGTTAAATTTTATATAATATATTTTTAATACATTTTAACATATTCGTAGTATATGTTTAACAATTATTTCAACTCTAATTAGGATGTGGTTAGAACCTAAGACCTTTTTTTTTTATATAAATTAATGAGTAAGTTAAGAATAATAAATAGTTAACGGAATATTCCGTAACTAAAGTTTATACTAACGGAATTTAGGATTATTTAAGGGAAGAAAATAATATAACAGAGGGTAAATAAGGAAAATCATTACAAAATTACTAAAATCAAAATATCATGAACCATTCATTTTAAGAAACAATTATACCGACATTTTGTTGTTCCAGTTAAGGGCCTAACATTATTGGCTCTTATTAGATTTGTATTTGTATGTATTGTATCTGTATGTAGATGTAGATCACTACTAGAAATTATGAAATTTTCGACCACCTGAAAGTGATCTTAAATCAAGTTGAAAGCCTTGTTCCAACCACTTTTGGTATCCGAAAAAACCTTTATTGCTATTTCCAACTACTTTTTGCTTTCAACTTTATTTAAGATCACTTTCAGGTGGTTGGAAATTCCATAATTTCCAGCAGTGGATATAGGTCAAACCTACATTTATTTTCAATGTGCAACAAAGGCACTGTTTGGTAACATAGTTAGCTTATCAGCTAATTTTAGCTTATTTAACCACTATTAGTTGTTTAACTTAGTTAAACAATCGATATGAGTGTTTTATTAATTAGCTTTTCGTAACAGTTTATTTGTTCTAAAATGCTAAAATTCAAAAAGCTGCTCAAAACAGTTTTTTTTTTTCGATCAGTTTTTTGAAAAAATCATTTTGCATATAATCAACTATTAGGTAACATCTAATTTACCAAACGCTTTTCTACAATCAACTAATACTATCAACTAATCAAATCCACTAACTCAATAAGCTAATAGTTATTTACCAAATACCCCCAATGATTCCAAGTGTTTCTAAAGTTTCATTTTCTTAATTTTATGGGAATACTTTAAAATCAATTTACCATTCATCTATTATCTATTTTGAATGTATAAATATACAAAATTTATCTACTTAATTAATGACGGTTCACATACCATTGCCTTACCTAAGTGAATCCTACTCAAAACATTGCCTTTAAAATGACGGTTCACATACCATTTTCATGTTATTTTTCCAACAGATTCATCAAAAGTAGCTTTTCATTTGTTTTTTTTTTTTTTCATAATTAAACCACAAAACACATTTAACATTTTAACAACAATCCTCTTTTAAATAATTTTATATCAAATATCAATACATGACTCATATTTATAATAATCTTCTAACAATCTAACATCATATCTTTAATTTTTCTAACAAACTAACATATCTTCTAAAACAATAACTAGTTTAAATTATACAAATATTTATTCAAAAAGCGATACGTTATTACATCATTCGAAAGTGGCATATATTTAGTAAATTGGAATAAGGGTTCTCCAATAGAGAAGAATAAGGGTTCTCCAATTAGCATATAGTCAGTCGGAGTTAAAAATAATAGTAATGAATTGTCAAATAGATGTGATTATGAATGTGTAGGTGCTATCCGTTTCTATGTCTGATTGTTCTGAGAGGTTATCCAATCCTCCTCCTATCATTTGTAACGTCTTTTTTTAAATGAATTAGTTTTTTCATTCTAAAAAATAATGAATGTGTAGATAATGTGAAATAAATAAACAAAAATACACAGATTCTCTATGAAAATATAAAAAAAGAAATTTATTATTTAAAGAACTGCATTGAGAAGATTCCGTATATGATTGCAATTGATGCCCTACTCAATTATATTGGAGAAACCATCTTCTTTGAGCCATTTTGTCCCCCAAATTCTAGCCTAGAAATTGTTGATTGCCATTTGCATAGGTATGTGTCCCTTTCACCAATTTGGCTACCGCCTAAAAGCCTTTATTGTATATCATACGTTTCAAATTATAATTGTATAGGATATTTGTCTAATGATCGTAGACCTTCACCTTAATACCCACCGCTCTATTTCTCTTGAAAGATAATCATTATTTTTATTTTTTTATAATAATAATAATAATAATAATAATAATAATAATAATAATTATTATTATTATTATTATTATTATTATTATTATTATTATTATTAAATATATTCTTCTATGTGCAAATAATGTTCCTAGATCTTCACCCTAATTTGACTTTACACCTCTTGAAAGGTTATGGTATTTTTTTATTTAAATTTTCTTCTATTAGCTAATCTCTTCTTTAATAACGGATGGAGTTTTCTTTTTCATGGGTCCTCCCTAAAAAAAAAAATAGTAAAGAAAAATGGTGAAGTTTCTAGGCGTAAAATTTAAAAGGCTGTAATTTTAACACTTAATAGTTTATAAAAAAAATTACACTCAAGGAACAAATTCTATGAAAAGACGAAAAGTGCAATGCTAATAATAACTTGGGACAAAAAGTGAACATGACTAACACTCAGGGAACAAATTCTATAATTACCCTCTAATTTAGAGACAAAAAGTGCAATTCTCCATAGTTTATAACAAGTGGCTATGACTTAAATAGTTAAACAAGTGACAACTAATAATTCACTCCCTTAGAATTTCAAATAAATTTATTAGTACGTAGTATGGTCAATATTAACTAATTTGAGTAATATTTATGATAACATTAACAAATTTTGCATAACTTTGATAACATATTCAAGTTATCTAACTAGAGAATGAGTGTTACATGAAGGTGAATGTCTAACATACAATGAAGGCATATGGCATTTAATTTGCCCCATGTATTTAGTTCTAAAATAACAAGAAAGAAATAACTTAAAGAAACAAAACAATAGAATGGGGGAAAGGGACATAAAAGAGTGGGGGAGAGGTAGGGTAGACCTATACATACATATATATAAACAGAAGACTACAAAGGCAAATGAAACAATGTACAACAACCAGTCAACCACTTTTTAAATCAAGAAATAACTTAAAGAAACAAAACAATAGAATGGGGGTAAGGGACATAAAAGAGTGGGGGGGGAGGTAGGGTAGACCTATACATACATATATATAAACAAAAGACTACAAAGGCAAATGAAACAATGTACAACAACCAGTCCAACCACTTTTTAAATCAAGAACCAGGATAGAAGTCCCGATCCATTTACCCAGGAATACCCAGAAACCAAATGAGAAAACATGAACTGATGACT